ATAGGTTTCTCTGGCTCACTTTAGAGATATCATTAGCATTTTATGAAAGAGAACATTATAAATCATCCTCGTGGGGCATAAAGTGATTCTATTGATAGTGTCATTAATTTAGCCAATGGAATAGAACTTAAACCACTGTTGATAAGAGGAAATTAAACAAGTATATGCCAGCTTCAGACAGTGAGACTAACTTTTTACAGGACCAGGAAGCCTCTTCTTTCTCCCCTGGGGCAGCTGTTGGTTTCAAACCGTTGAACTTGTGCTTAGCCACCCACCTTGTAACTCACACACACCAGGGCGCCTCAGTCAATAGCAGGTAGCTTCTAACTAGCAATAGCGCAGGTTTCGAAGGCAGCTCTGGGCTGGTCTCCCCGTGAGCCTCAATGTCCACATCTGAAACAACGGGAAGAGCCCTGGTGGTTCGGGGGTTATAGAGCCTGTCTACTGACCTTGGAGGGAGAAAGACCCAGCGCTGTCCTTTGATTACAGCTGGGAAAGCCCCATGGGGCACCTCCACTGAGGTACCTGGGGTCAGGGCACACAGCATGATGTAGGGATTCAGGGAGGGGCGCTCCTGTCGCTTGCGGGAGCTGGGAGTGGGGAGTAGCTGCTGGTCCAGGTGCGTCTGTGATACCCGGGGCAGGAGGTCAGGACCGGCTGGGCCCTGTCCTGGTTTTCCCCGCACCACCTTTTCTAGTTTCATTGCCTCTGGACACACGGACACCAAGCAATACAGCGGCACTGGGGACCCTGGAGGAACTTTCTGGAATGGGGCGGGGGTGGGGTGGTGGTGGTGGTGGTTGTTTGTCCTTGGTGTGGCCCCTGCTCACCTGGGGAAGGTGCTGTGATTGTCTGCCTTCCGCGGGAGTATTTGTCCTCTTTGAGAACGGCTCTGGGCAGGGGGGCCTTGGTCTCTGCTGACCTGACCTGATGTGTGTTTTAGGCAAAGTGCTTGTGTTAGGCTGGGCTGTCTACAGAATCTAAGCCAGTGACCCGCACTTCTGTGTCAGACAGAGCTTTGTATCAAGAAGTAATTCTATATGGAGAAGGCATACCATCACAGTCCAACTCATCTGTAAGTCCCATGCTGGTCCATAGGTGGGTTCCTCTTCAGACTTAAGCAGCCAGGTGCACTGATGCAGAAGGCAGGTAGATCCCGGGCCGGTGGGTGCAGAGACGTGTGGATCCCAGGTCAGTGGAAACGCAGCAGGACTCCGGCAGCTGAGTCCCAGCCAGCAGGAAGGGGCAGAGAGGAGGAGGTTCCCAGGGCCCTCCTTATGAGAGGGCCACAGGGGGTGCGGGGTTGTACCATCAGGCTTGGCAGGTTGGACTCTACTCCTCCACTTTCATAGATCTTCAAGTTGACAGAATCATCTTTCGAAACCCAAACCAAGCTCACCGCCCTCAGTCAATGCTGACTCAAAGGGACGCCCTGTGGGTTTCTGAGACTCTAACTGTTTACAGGAGTAGAAAGCTTAGTCTTTCTCCCAAGGAGCTGCTGGTGGTTTCAAACTGCCGACCATGAGGGTCACAGCCCAACACATAATCACTGCACCACCAGGGCTACTCTCAAACTACCAACGTGTTTTAAAACTCAACTCCGTCAAGTCATTGCCAACTCATCTCATTGCATGGGGTGGAGCAGAAAGCCTCATCTTTCTCCTGAAGGAACAACTGGCTGTTTCAAACTGATGACCCTGAGGATTGCAGTCCAACGTGTAACACACTAACACCCTCTAACGCAGCGGTTCTCAACCTGTGGGTCGAGACCCCCTGGGGCTCAATGACCCTTTCTTTTTTTTTTTTTTTTAAACATTTTATTAGGGGCTCATACAACTGTTATCGCAATCCATACACACATCAATTGTGTAAAGCGCATTTGTACATCATTCTCAAAACATTTTCTCTCCACTTAAACCCCTGACATTAGGTCCTCATTTTTCCCCTCCCTCCCTGCTCCCCCCTCCCTCATGAGCCCTTGATAGTTTATAAATTGTTTTTTGTCATATCTTGCCCTGTCCGACGTCTCCCTTCACCCACTTTTCTGTTGTCTGTCTCCCAGGGAGGAGGTCACATATAGTTCCTAGTAATCGGTTCCTTCTTTCCTACCCACTCTCCCTTTACCCTCCCTGTTTCACCACTGGTCCTGTAGGGCTCATCCGCCCTGGATTCCCTGTATTTCCAGTTCCTATCTGTACCAGTGTACATCCTCTGGTCTAGCCAGACTTGCAAGGTCGAATTTGAGTCATGGTAGTGGGAGCGGGGAGGAAACATTTAAGAACTAGAGGAAAGTTGTATTTCTCATCGTTGTTACATCGCACCCTGACTGGCTCATCTCCTCCCCGAGACCCCTCTGCAAGGGGATCTCCAGTGGCCTACTAATGGGCTCGAACGACCCTTTCACAGGGGTTGCCCGATTCATAACAGTAGCAAAATGACAGTGATGAAGTAGCAACAAAAATAATGTTATGGTTGGGGGTCACCATGACACGAGGAACTGTCTGAAAGGGTCATGGCATGAGGAAGGTTGACGACCCCTGCAAGGGTCTCCAGGGCTGTAAGTCCTGACAGAAGCAGATAGACTTCCTCTCACCCCCTGGAGCAGCGGTGGGTTTGACCTGCCAACCTCGTGGCTGGCGGCTTCACTGGCAGCCTCTGTTCTGCCAGGGCCCTTTAGGATGGCAGTGGGGTGGGGAGGTTATTTTGAGAAGCTCTGGCTCTGGGTCCTCATTGGCACAGGCTCTGTCCCCAGCTTGGTGTTGGACCTTGGGCAAGGCCCTGCCACTTTGTCCCACCCCCCTTCTCTGGAAAATATTCCCCGGAGCCACTGCCTGGCCTGCTTGTGCTTATAGGACAGCCGGGGCCAGTGGAACATGAAGTGTTAGATCCAGGGGCGGCAGGGACCCCTAGAGATGTCCCTGAGGCTGAGGGGGCACAGTGCACAGCTCCAGGAAGACAGGGGGACTCGACCCCTTTCTTGGGTCTGCCACTGTTGGACTAAGGGGGGGGGTCTCCGGGAGGCAGGCAGGGCTGGGCACATTCACACCTGCTTCCTCTTTTAATGGAGCCTTGGGCTGTTAACTGGAAGGTCGGCAGTTTGAATCCACTAGCTGCTCCTTGGAAGAACGATGAGGCTTTCTGCCCCTGTAAAGATGTACAGCCTTGGCTGGGTATCCTAGGGAACAGTTCTACCCACTCCTGTAGGGTCACTCTCTATGACAGTTTTGGTTTTGATATATACCCATTTTACAGATGAGGAAAGTAAGGGGACATTC